GGTCATCACTCAGACCTCTGGAGCCCCAAACCAGCCGTGGTGACCAACTCATCTTGCCTGCTTCCGCTGTGCCACAGGCCACAGCCCAGGTCACTGAGGACAGGATCCATAACCCCCTAGCTGGTGACCATGAAGGCCTTGTCTGTCTCTGGTCACACACTAAGTGGGGGCCTGGCCTTGAGTGAGGGGGCCCATACTGCTTGCCTGGCCCCAAGCGATGACCCCCACATCTCCTTTCAAGGAAGTGGGGCTCAGCCTGGAGGCTCCCCTGAGAGGCCTGCCTTGTTGGGACTCTGCCCCTGCCCTGTGCTTTCCAGGCCGGGGGCTGGTCGGGTTGGGAAGGCCCATTTCTCCTCCCACTCACCCCTCTGGCCAGGCTCTGACCATCTGGAAAAGCTGGTGGGTCACCCTTGTTGGTGCATGGGGCCCTGGTCAGGCTGTCCTCCCCAGCTGCCCGTATATCCCGCAGCTGGGTCAACCATGGCAATGGTATCAGCGGTGGCTCTGACCTCCTCAGCCCCTCTGCGGGCAGCCCAGGGTCTCTGCTGCTCGAGAAGCCCTGTCATCGCCCACGGTCACTCGCCGCGTGTAGGATCCCATACGGGAGGGGCTGCTACAGTGCTTGTTAGTTACAGGCACCACGACAACAGGCCCGGCATGTGTTCAGTGAGTTCCTACTATGTGCCAGCTGCACGCTAAATTCTCCCTGCTCACTGGCTCACTCTGAGTCCTGAGGGAGGGCCGCAGAATCCCAGGGATTACGTGACCTGCTCTGAGCGGCCGGGCTGGGCAGGACCCTCAGGCTGCCTGACTCGAAGCCCCTGCTTCTAAGCCCTTTATCATCCTGGTGCTGTCACCTCCCTGATAATCTGTGTTTCCAGATGGCCAAGACAAGGCTCCCAGAGGGAACCGGAGCTCTAGCCGGCCTCCCCTGACTGCTCGGCCTGCCTCCTGACAGCACATTCACAGGGACGGCAGGGGGTTGGGGGAGCGTCTTTGTTCTTTTCCGGAGCCTTCCTCACAGAGCCCAGTGCCTCCTGGAGCACGGTGAAGGCCCACTGGACTCAGCCAAGGGGCGGCTCCCTCAGGAAGCAGCTGCGCAGGCTCCGGCTGTCCCTGCTGGGACGGGGACTCTCTACCTGTGTATTCAGGGAAGCAGATGGTGAGCGGGGACTTCTTGATCTTCTCTTCAAATATGTCCTTCTTGTTAAGGAACAGGATGACGGACGTGTCTGTGAACCATTTGTTGTTGCAGATGCTGTCGAAAAGCTTCAGGGACTCGTGCATGCGGTTCTGCAACAGAGCGGAGAGGCAGGTGAGGGCTGGCAGTGCCCAGGGCCCCAACTGCCCGCGGCCGCCGACAGCACACCAAGCAAGGGAAGGGCCCTCCGACATGGCCGACCGTGCCACCGGGGGACGGAGACGGGAGGCCCCGCGAGACAGATGGACACGCTCCTCACTTCATTCCACATACAGGCAGGCTGGGGGGCAGAGCAGGACGGGCAGGGCGGGGAACGCTGCCCACCCCCCCACCCCCCTACCCCTGCGGAAGGCCGCCCTGGGGTGGGGCAGCCAAGTCCCCTGGAGAGGCTCCAGCTCATGGAGAGGACATGCACCATGCACGCGGGGGCGGGGGCAGCACCACCATCCAGCACGTCTACACGGAACCATGGGCCATGCAGAGTTCTCTACCGGGGTCTCATTCAGTTTCACCAGCGGGGGTGGGAGGGTGCACGCATTCCTTTGGGAAACATTAACCGAGGACGAAGAGATCCTCGAATTAATCCAGAGTTGGAAGCAGACACCAGGGGACAGCGTCTGGGGGTGATCTTGCTGTGGCCTTGGTGCAGTTGGGGGGTCTGGTTGGTTGTTTGGGCTGTGGCTGGGCCGGCGGCCACTCTGGGTGGCCTCGTTGTTGGGGCTGGTTTCTCAGTAGAGTGGCCAGAAGAACCCCAAGAAGAAGCCCAGCAAAACAGATTAACACAGAAAAGAAGATAAAAACCCAGAATGCAGGAGGAAAAGCAAGAGGAAAAAACCCCAGAAATACTGGTTCCACCAGTCTCGGGTCGGGAAGTCAAGGGCAGCCCATCCTGAGGCCCCCACACAGGCTGGCAGAGGACAAGGACGGCGAGCGTGGGCGGGGCAGGCCGTCACAGCAAGTCACCCGGGGGGGCCCTGACAACCTGGTGCTTTCAACTCTTAACTGATGGTTTCGGTTGGAGGGAGGCGCTTCATACCTGCCCAGCTTGGAGCGTCTCCCAGAATCTGCACATGGTTTTGGCCTTGGTTTGGCCAGTGAAGGCCCTGCATGCGGCGGTGACGATAATGGCCTGAAGAAGCTGTGGCAGGCCGAGGCCTGGGGCCGCTGGAGCCACCAGCCTGGGGTATGAGGATGGGATGAAACCCTCGGGCTGTCAGGGTGCAGTGGGCGGGGCGGCTGGCTGGCAGGGGTGGGGGCAGCCCCGAGGCCCCCGGGACCCCCGGCCAGGCTCCAGGAGCTGTCTGTAGACTCCTCTGTCCTGGCAGGCCCCGCTCCTGCCCCAGTCAGGAGGGACGTGCGGGTTGACCATGGAGGAAGTCTGAGGACCAACAGTGGGTCAGCAGGGTCCTGCTTTTGCCTCCCGGGGCGGAGTGTCCATGTCCCACAGCTTGTCCTTTCGCCATACGCTGGGACGGAGCAGCCCGACCGTGGCCGGCTCCTGAGTGCTGAGTCCAATGGGCCTCACCGCTGCCCACAAGGCTGCTCGGCCACCGTAGCCATTTTGTGGAGGAGGAAGGGAGAGGCTGCCACGCTCACCCCGTGGCAGGGCCAGGGCCCGGCTCTGCACCAGCGCTGTGTGGTTCCTCAGCTGCCCAGCGCTGCCGTGTCCTGGAGACACAGATGTTTGCCGAGCTCTCTCGCCGTGGTATTGTTCTTGCTGTCCCCGCGGCAATGAGCTGCCTTTGTGAGTGGCTGTCCTGTGGCGAAGCCCATTTGCTCTTCCCAGGGGGCACCGACGGCCTGCTTCTGGGTGGAAAGGGCTCCAGGAAAAGCCAGTTTCTGGTCTTGGCTTCCCCAAGGTCCTGTGCTTCAGCCCTTGTGCAACAGGGGCCGGGAAAATGGGGCAGGAAGACGAGAGAGGGTGGAAGCGGGACAGTAAAGGCAAGAAGAGAAAGAGGCGGCGGGGCCCGTGGGCCGTGCTCCCCAGAAGCAGTGGTGGGGCTAGAGAGGAGCTTCCGGGGGGCCAGCCGGGCTGGACGGGGAGGGCTGTGCGAGCACGAGGCCTGGCACCTAACCAGACCACGGACACAGGTGACCAACGGCCAAGGAGCTTGGGGCCCCGTGGCTGCCAGACCCACACGGATGTCCCTTTGCTTCGACCCGGTGCTCCAGAGGTGAGTGAGAGGCCCTGCCCCATGGCTGTGGAGCCTGGGACTCAAGGTTTAAGCTGCGCACAGACCCGGGACGGCAGGTCACAGCGGAGAGGCGAATTGAGGGAGTGGGGCCCTCCTGCCCTCCGGCTCTCTGCTTTCTTTGCAACCCGTGGGTTACAGACGTGATGCTAGCCCAGCCCTGCTTCTTACTCGCGGGCTTTGGAGGGAGGAAAGATGAACCTAGTGGAGCCCAGACCACGTGGGTGGATGCCACTGTTGGTGACGAGCAGTTTCGAAACCATAGAGTCAGCCGGCGGAACAGTGAGAGAAGTGCCAGGGCCGTCCCTGGGCAGGGGTGCATAGTGGGTGCGGCCGGTGTGTCCGGGTCCCAGCACAGCCCAGCGCGGGCCTCTACCCACCACCCGGCTCCAGGGATCTGAGACGCCGCAGTCGGCCGAGGCCACTGACAGTGACTGCTCTACCAGAACGACCTCCCAGCCAAGGCCCTAGGAGCCTCACCCTCGACAAGGCAGGGCTCAGGGGCTTTGCTGGAACCCAACTCAGGGGTGCAGCTGGCCCCAAAAGAGGAAGGACAAGGCAGACCAGCATGGGGTTCACCCCCGGCCCCTTCAACCCCCTGCTGGCGGCTTCGGTCCCAGTCTGCCAAAAACCTCATCCCGTGCCAGTCCCTCCCCACAGCGCGGCACCCCAGCCCGCAGCCCACCAGATGTGCCCAGAAGGCCTGCGGGACCAGCAGGCCAGGACTGAGACGGGACAGACCGCGAGAGACCACCTTGCTCAGGGCCTGCCGTGATGACCAACACACGGCTTCACGCCCTCAGCGCTGACTCTGAGAGGCTGGGGCCCAGGGTCTGCACGTGCATCCCACAGATGGGGCTGACCCCACAGCCAGGACCCCATAACCCCCTGCAGGTGCCACGGGCTCGTCTCCAGGGACCCCGCAGGGGCATCACGCCGATACCCAGCTTCCCTTGCAGGCTCCATAGACAGGCCTGCTGCTCAGTGGACGCCACCCCCCGACACACATAGGGACAGTCGCCGGCAACGGTACAACCACCAGCTCCGCGGTTCCGACGGTTTCACGCGCATTCTCTCAACATGTCACCGGCGGCCCCGAGACGAAGTACTATGGTTCCCCCACTCCGGCAGAGAGCAGTAGCCGAGGCAGGGCGCGAGCCGCCGGGACCTGGCAGCACAGCGGGAGCAGGCCCAGGGAAAGGCCGCACCTCTCCAGCTGAGGGCCTCGCTTTGAGGCCAGCGTGGCCGACCTCCTCTGAGGAGGGGCCCAGCGCCCCGTGCACTCCCCCTGCCAGCCGCACGCAGCGCCTCTGGCCACAGCTCGGCCGTGCTGGGGACAGGCGGTCGGGCCTGAGACTGGCTATTTCCGTCTTACATACATTCTTGCTGGGCTGCACCTTGATTTCTTTTAGGACTGACTGGCTTCATTCGGTTCTGGCCCGGCGGCTCTGGGCCTCTGCCTGGCCCCCCGTCACAGGAGGGAGAGGGCATGGCCCCCAGTGGTGGACCCGCAGCCAACACAGCTGGCCCCACCCCGGAGGCCCCAGGGCCCCTGAGGCCGAGTCTCTCCAGGCCACCACAGGCCGCGCAGGCCCAGGGCCACTCACCGTGGTCTCGTCTTCATGGAGCACCTGGTCGTAGCCGCTGAGCGCGACGCAGAAGATAATGGCTGTGACGTCCTCGAAGCAGTGGATCCACTTCTTGCGTTCAGATCGCTGGCCCCCGACGTCGAACAGCCTGGGAGGGGAGAGAGGGAAGCTGTGAGTGGTGGGCGGTGGGACCCAGGCCGGTGTGGGAGTGCCTGGTCAAGCCCCAAGCCTCCGGGAACACCCTGCCACAGGGGCCGATGGGCGGACTGGGCCGTCTGCCCCATGATGGGCTGTGCTCATGTTGGGGCTCAGAGACCTGCCCTTGCACCTCGAGAATCTTACAAAGGGGGCACCTCAGGTGGCCCCCAATAATCGCTTCTGTGAGGCGCTCCTCTTGGACAGCACACATAACCTGTCGCTGGCCTTCGGCGTGTGCGGTCCTGTCTGTGGTCTGGGCAAGCCCCCGGTCCTGGGTGTGTCAGGTGGGCAGGGATCAGTGCCCGTTACGTGGAGGGAAAGGGAGACACCAAGGGCCTTGTGAAGGGCCCGTGGTCCTGGTGAAGGCTGGTATGGTAGAACGAGGGTCTGACCCAGATCTGCCTGCAGACAAGACACCCCTGCTCCATGCCATGCCTCCCCAGCAGAGGGCTACCACCTCTCTCCCCCTAGACACCACCCCTCAGGACACAGGAGGGCTGTAAGAGGAGACTGTGGGCAGGTGCGACTGCATCCTGGAGATAAGAGGTCAGTCTCCTACCCTCAAGCCCTGAGCAAAGACCCACCACCTCGGAGGCCTGGGCTCTGAGCCAGTGTGCGTGGGGACTGCAGGCCCTCCCAACAGAGGAGAAACCCTGTGGGCAGAGGCCAGTAAGTTCTGTGCAAAGAAGTAGGCTGGTTCCTGTCCTACTACCGCCTCCCATGGCTCCTGCTTCTGCATCTAAAATATAGGGGCATGGCCCCTGGCCTCTGTGAGCCCTTCCCAATGCTTATTCTCACCCTCTGCCTGCTGGCAGCCCTGAGTCCAGGTCCCCTCCCTATGCCCAGAGGCACGGGTTAGAGATACTGAGGAGACCAGAAGGTGAGAGACACCTTGTGGGGCTGCTCAGCCCATTGCTGCACTCTCCAGATTCAGGGGAGGCTCTGGTGTCCAGCGCTGCCTGTTGGGTCCAGGGCCCCCAAGACAGAACTTGAGCCCCCTCAGTCTGTGTGAGAGCAGGACGGGGCTAGGGGGGCAGTGTGGGGTCCAGCCCTCCCAGGCAGGACAGGCAGCCACAAAGCAGGCCCTTACACTGGTCTACCAGCCTGTAGTCCCTGACCCCAGACCTTTCCTCCTGCTTTATGGACACCCAGAAACCACATCTGGAAGGTAGGTGGGAGCAGGACAGGGACTCTCAGGCCTCAGCACAGGGAGGTTAGCCCAGGTGGGGACATAACTCTCCAGGAGGGCCTGAGAAGTCCAGCTTCCTGCCTCAGGCTTCTAAGGTGCTCTGAGAGCTTGGACTTGAGTTGTGTTCTGTGTTTGGGGATAGCCTTGCTCCTCCCAGCCCTCGGTTTCCCCACATGTACCTAGAGATGGTGGATCAGCTGATCTCTAAGATCCCTCCAGCTCTGAGATTATCCGGGTTCTTGGCATCTCACAGACACTGTTTGGGCCTATCCATCCTCCTTCCCTCCCCCTCCCACAAGAAGGACTTCAAGGGGCCACCTGGGAGATTTGCCTTCCTCCTCTTCAGAAGTCATCTAGGGACAGGACTCCACTCCTCTGTCCACTCCAATCCTCTCTGTTCCTTGGAGACCCACTCCAGAATGCCTCTTCTAGGAAGCCTCCCTGGTTGTCCTGGCCCCTGAACTTGGTGGGAAACACACACAGGCAGGTCCCTTCTTGTATCTAACTGCCTGTCCCAACTGGAAAGCTCCCCAAGGCAGATGAGACAGGGCGGAGAGACCGGTGTTACCCATCTGTCCCAGTGCCCTCGCCAGGGTTCGGGAAACTCCCTGGGCCTCACCTGAAGTGGAGGTTCTTGAATGTGAAGTGGGTTTCTACGATGCCAGTGGTTTTGACCCTGGTTCGGAGGATATCCTGCTCAGTGGGCTGGTAGTCGGCGGCCCCGATCCGATCCAGGCTGTCCAGGTAGCTGGGGAGGGCAACACACGGGGCCCTGGAACAAGCCGGCCCAGTCCCAGGCAGCGCCCCCTGGGGGCCGACCGTGGAAGCAACGGCGCCCCTGCCCCCCACCATCCACTGCCCTGGGGCTGGGGGCAGAGAGTGGGAGGAGCTTATGTTCTACCCTCACCTCCTCAAAGAGCCTCTAGCTCAGACCAAGGGCTGCTTGCCCAGGGCCAGGGGCGGTGCATTTAGAGGTCAGACTCTTACATAGTGGCCAACAGTTACCTTTGACTCTTGGCATGTGTGATCATGTTGCACCCTTAGTTGCCCTGAATTATATGAACTGTTTTAGAGATTAGAAAACTGAGGATCAACAAAGGACCTCGCCCAGCTGGGAGCCGGGGCTCCAACCCAGACATCTGGTCCACCCCCTAACAGTACTCCTGAGTGCTGCCCAGAGGCCTCTTGGCATCCGCCGGTGCTTCCAGACTTGCTTAGTCTACCGGAGCACTGGTCCTTGGAAGAGAGGCTCAGAGGTGACACAGCTCAGAGGTGACATGGGGATGAGACCCATGTCTTTGGCATCAGGGCTCTCTTTTCATGTCACCACTGGCTCTAGAGACAGACCATGTCTTTGCACTTTACCCATCCAGCCGGAAGGGCTTCGGGGTTAGTTTTGAACCCAAAGCAGTGGTGGGATCTGGAAAACCAGGAAGCAGGGAGGTGGGCCAGGCCTGAAGGAGGATTCAGTGATGAACAGGGCTGGCTGGGCCACCTACCCCTTGGACCACCGCACACAGCCCACAGGGGAGGAGTCCCGAGGGTCCAAGCCCTAGGACAATGTGGGGTCCCAGGTTGCGTGAGGAGGGGCTACCCTTCATTGGCACTAGCCCTGGGACCTGTGAGGGTCAGTTTCTCAGCCTGAGGATGCTCATGGGGCTGGAGGGGGAAATGCCTTCAGCAATGAGGGTTTCCACTGGTAAACAAATAATCCATGCCCCCCTCAAATCCTTGTGAGGATTTTCCTTGAAGAAATAAAACTGAATGAGGGAGTCCCAGGGGTAGGAGGCATAAGCTTGAAGTCACATAGTTAGAAAAGGGACCCTGCTAGGATTTGAGCCTGGATGTGCCTGACTCCAGATCCCGTGATCTTCGGGCCTGGACCTGGCAGCTCTGGCTGCCTCAGCATCTCCCGACCAGGCTCCTGGGAGTGTCTGGACTCTGGGCTCAGCCTGGAGGAGCCCCTCCCGGCCTGTCCCAATCCTCCTAACCTCTCTGGGCACAACCCCTCACACCCCCCTCACTCTCTGCCCCACTCCCACTGCCTCTGCTTAGGAGCTCTGCTGGTTTTGAAATGACCCTCGTTCTGTTGTCTCCAGCTGGACACCAGGACGGGGGAGTCTCTGGCCTTGGCCCCCATCCCCCCACCCCCACCCACAATCCCAGCCGGGGAAACCTCTTTTAGACAGAAAACCTGGCCCTCCGTCTCTCTGTGCTATTGAGCCTCACACATGGACATGGCCAAGGGAGGGGCGGGTGAGCAAGTGGGAGAGGCACCTACTTGTTCCCCCACCCCCCATCGCCCTGGCTGCTGGGATGAGACCCTGAATACGACCAGTACCGTCCCCACCTCCCCAGAGCCTACATGTGTTTGTGTGCACATGTGCGTGTAAGATAATTCACAGTTAAGTAAGAAGGAAAGACGGAGGCAGTTGGTAAGGAGAAGGCCTGAGGAGCATTGCTATTGGGCAGAGGGGGGCTGGGGAAGGCAGGATGACACTGGAGTGGAGGCTGAGGGGAGGAGGGGTGAGCCTCTCCCCTTGCAGGTACAGAGGACACCCTGTGGTGGTGGGGGGCCTGGGACGCAGGCCCTGGGCAGGGGTGGTGTGGTGGGAGGAGGGAGCTGTGCGACTGGAGTGGGGTGATGGAGGCAAGGGTGGGGCGCAGCTTGTAGGCACTTGGGCTTTCACGCTGAGCGAGATGGGAAGCTTCTGGAAGGTTCTGATGAAGAGTACGGGAACGAGTCTGCTGCTCTACGGAGAGCAGATCAGGAGGGAGGAGAAAGGACACCTGTTGGGAGGTTGCTGCAGCCCTGTAGGTGAGAGGCCACTATGCTGGGGCCTGGAGGAGGCACGAGTGGGAGGCAGAGCCCATTAAAGCCACCTCCTCCGTGGTAGAAGCTGCTCTTAGTGGGAAGAAGGGTGGGGCAGAGCGGGTTTGGGGGAGGAAGGAGCTGGGAGTCAGGTGGCACATACTAATTTGGGAAGTGCTGAGATGTCCGAATGGACAGGGAGGAGGCAGGAGGGAGGGCTGGGCTGGCCCCACACGAGGGAGATTTGTCGAGGGAGATTTGTCGGGGCGTGTGAGGGATGGAGGCGGACAGGGCTGGAGAAGCTCACCCAGGCCCTGAGCATGGACTGGAAGAGGTTCAAGGGTTCCAGAGAGGGCACAGGCAGGAAGTGGGGAGGGAGCACACTTGGAGGTGCTACAAGGAGGGGGGTCGAGAGCCTGAGCCATCTCAGCGGGGCACAGGAGCAAAGCCCGAGGGGTGGGCTCAGAGAGAGGGCAGGAGAAGAAACAGGCCCAACCAGACCATGGAACTAGCTTGTACAGCCCCTGCTGGGACGTGCTCAGATTCCTGGGCTCCCGGGGCTTGTCTCAGCACCATCCGGAGGGTCAAAGGGAGAGCCAGCCCTATCCACAGAGGCCTGGGTGGAGGGAGCCTGGCAGCACCGGAAGCCTCCCTGTCCCCTCAGGGGCCTGGTGTCCTCACCTGTTAAGTGAGGGGATTGGGCTGGGGGACATGGGGAGTCACTCACACCACCCCTTGGAATTGGGCCCTGAGTCAGCCCTATGGGGCTCTCTCTCTCTCTCTGTCACAACAAATCCGCTGTTAACTGTTTTATATATTGCACCCAGGATTCTGTCAGAAAAGGGGATCTGGCTGCTAAGACCAGGGTCGCAGAGCCACCCTGGACCAGGCAAGGTTTAAGGCCGTTCCTTACCTGACTGCTGTGGGTTCCCGTCCTGGCCTGTCCTGGGACCCTGTCCCAGAGACAGACACTTGGAGAGAAGGAGCCAGGTTTCCTCAGCTGACTTGGTGGGGAGTTGATAAATATTGACTCAAGCTTCTTACTTAACATTATAAAGGCAACCACCAGAAGAACCACAGGTAAGCCCTGAACTAGCAAGAAGCTGGTCATGGAAGTGGGGCAGAGACATGGGAGGCGGGCAGGTGAGCTGAACTCCGATCCCATCCCAGAGGCCACTAAATACTATGACCGCTTGGAGGGTCAGGTTTTCCTGGATGACACTGGGACAGAGAGATGAAATAATTACAAGTTGGAAGGGGACAGACCTGGAAGAAGGAGTTTACTATTAATTTTACACCTCTCTGTAGTGTTAAATTTTTTTTTCAGTGTATTTAGGTTATAATTACATGGACAACAATTTAAGTGGAGATCACTATTTGATGGCCCGAGTGGAGTTGGGGGGATGGGAAAGCCCTGGACTGGGGCCCAGCAGGGGTGGGGAAGCTGTCCCCCCAACCCCCAAATGGCTCAGGGGGACAACCTGGGGCCACTGGAGGAGTGACTTGAGCGTGCACCGGCAGCTGTGGGCACAAACCCCACGCTCACACCCCTGTCCACCGAGGTATCCCTGGGGGGCTCATCAGGGCCCCAGGGCCCAGCTCACTACCACCTGGGATGCCCAGAACCTAGCGTTCACCCAGTAGACAGTCTAGGTGTGCAGAATTGGGGGGAACTCTGGCCTTGCTCAAGTCTCTAGTTTAGTAGCTGTCATCGTGGCCGACAGAAATGGCCCAACATCTGTGAGCAAGTGCCGTTTTCTGGGCCCTTGCCTCTGCGACACCACCAGGGGGTAGGCTGGGATTTCTCAGGCTCAGCACTATTGACATTTTGGTCCAGATGATTCTTGCTACGGAGAGCTGTCTGATGCACTGTAGGTCGCTCAGCCGCATCCCTGGCCTCTGTCTACTAGATGCCAGCACCACCACCCGAGTCGGGACAATCAGGAATGTCTCCAGACATTGCCAAATGTCTCCTGGGGGCAGAGTGGTGGAGCAGCAGGGGTGAAGACGGCTGAATGAGACCAGTGGTGGAGCACACACGTCCTAAGATGGTGGGTTCAAACCCAGAGGCTCCCACTGACAACTTGGGCACAAGACTGCAAAAGTGGGGTGTGGTCCCAAAGTCTCCAGGACAGAAGACCTGTCCGCAGCCCGGGCAGGCCATTCCCCGGGGCATGGAGTCCCTGCTCTGAGGAACAAGGGCATGTAACCTTAGGGACACTTGAAGTAACAGAGCTGCTATCACGGAAGAGTCCCCACAGGCCACTCCGCCCCCCTTTGTTTGTCCCCCTTTCAGCCTCTCCGGCTTTCACTGACCTCTTCCCTTGCCTTCACTCCCCCTTCTCTCTTTTTCTTTCCTTCCCCATATTTGGTTATAACGCACTATCAAAGGATATGTTTGATTATTTCCTTAGTCTTATTTAAAATATTCATTTTAAAGATAGAGGAATGGAACGTTTATTTCCTCTAAAATGAAACAGAAATGGCATCATGTCAATTACTTTCTGCCCATATGACTCTTGGTTTGTACTTACGGGGTCAGGGCTTCTCTGGAGGGAAAAAGCTGTTAGACTATAGACTTTCCTTCTGAAGTGCCAGGCCCTGTCCAGGGCAAGGTGGTGACGGATCCCGCCCTCTGGGAACCCTACTGTTCGCGGTCTCTTGTGTGTTCGGCCTCCCTGGCCTCTTACCCCGGGGGTGCGAGGAGAAGCCCTTTCCCTCTCCTTCCAGACACCTTTCCTGACACCAATGGCAGAACACGTCACGGCAGTTCTGACCTCAGCCGAGGCCCCCTCCTTGCGCGCCCACCTCCGCCTCCATGCTGGCCTCTGTGCTTGCCGGCGGCCACCCCAGCCCCAAGACACTCACTATTTGGCAGAATCGTTGAGCTGATATTCCCGAGACCTGTTGAAGCATTCCTGGATTCCTGAGTCGCCCCAGAGCCGCATCATGGCGGAAAGCAGTTCTGCAGAGAAGGGCTCTGTGTCTTCCATCCGACTTACCACGTCACACACCATCTTGGCGTCAGCCTGTGAGGAGACAGGGGTGGTCTTTGAGGCTTTGGTGGGGTCACAGCCCTGGCTGGGCACAGGCTAGGGTACTGGGACCGCGGCTCAGCCCTTGGCCTGCTCAGGAAAGGCGGGCCACTAGATACAGTGTGGACACAGTCTGGGGATGAGAGCCATTGGAGCCTTCTGTCTGGCACGGCGACTTTCAGTGTGGCAGTTTCAACCGTGCCCCATGCAGCCTGATTGTCTCCTGTGGGCAGGAGGGGAGCGGATAGGGCTCAGTCCTCCATCCGCCAGCTCAACCAAGGCAGCCCCACTTTCATCTCCTTTGAAAACGGTTTTGCAGAGTATTTTTTGGGGAAAAAAAAAAGTCAATGTTTTTGACTATTATAATTTTCTCTACTTCTTACCCAGGTGGAGCAAAGTCCCTGGAATTGGGCAAATCAGGAAGAGGGACGATTTGGTTACTTGAGAATTCCAGGTAGCTGAGGGCCTGGGCCCCAGGGGACCTGTGCCTTGGGGGACTGATCATGAAGCATGAAGAGGCCGGTTCTCCAATTATGTCAATATTCAATGTCAAGAGCTTAGGCCCCTGGCTGGCCCAAAGCTGAAACTTAAAAAATTTTTTAAAGATTTTATTTATTTATTTCAGCGGGGAGGTAGAGGGAAAGAGAGAGTAACTCAAGCAGACTCTGCACTGAGTAAGGAGCCTGACGCAGGGCTTGATCTCATGACCCTGAGACTGTGATCTGAGCCAAAATCGAGGCGGTCGCTTAACCGACTGAGCCACTTAGGAGCCCCCAAAACTTAATTTTATTAATTTTTAGTTACTTATTTGCTGTTGACCTGTGGCCTACCTCTCCCTGGGGGCCGGAGAGGCCCAGTCCTGGTTAAACAAGGGAAGGGCAGAGGGTGAACAGAGAGATAGGGAGTTCGCCTCTCTCTGCCTCTCTCCCCCTCCTCCTCGGTCTGACGGGTACCCCAGGGTGCCCTGGGAGCCCGACACTCTGCTGCTCTTGCACGGACATCACGGCATAACGAGCAGGCGTCTTCCCCCTTCCCCTTCTCTGGGATACCACACAGGGTCCCCATCTTCAGAGATGATGGATCACAGACGTGTAACCCCAGACGGGGAAGGCAGTGGTCTCTGGAGACGCAGGGGCTCCTGGAGCAGTCACAGGACCTCCCCAGGCCCAGCACCTTGCACACACACACACAGCACTTCACAGCCTACAAAGCACGTGCCGGGGCGCGTGCGCGCGCGCGCGCGCGCACACACACACACACACACACACACACACACACACAGTGCCTCCTGGAGGGGTGAGAGGAGGCTGCAGTAATGGGCCTGGTTCTCTGCCCGTCTGGGTCCATACGCCCTCCGCTTCCCGTCTTTGCAATTTCTGCCCCCTGAACGCAGGACACAGTTCCTCTGTCCTTGACTGTGAGCGGCTGGGGGCCACGCTCCGGCCCATATAAGGATGTGGAAGTTCCCCAAGCTGCCCTTCAGAGGCCTTGCATGACCCCGCTTGTCCTGTGGGGCCTCCGCCATCGTCATGAACACGCCCGGGCTCCCCCGTTCATCCCAGCAAGAGGATAGGGGACACACGGAGCCCAGCAGAAGCACCCTGGGTCTCTGATCCCCAGCTGAACTCCTGCCCCGTGGAAAGAAATAATTTTTACTGCAAGTGACCGAGTTAGGGAAGGCTTCTTTGTACTGTGTGGCCATCACTAACTAGTACAGTAGTCTCTGTGTTACTGTCCCCATTTTACAGGTCGGGAAACTGAGCGCCAGAGAGAGGCAGGCACTCACCTATGCTTGTGGGTGGGGAGTGCCAGAGCTGAGAGTCAGCATCAGGAGGCTCTGACCCCAAGGCCAGCCTCTGGGATCAGACCCACAAGTTCTGAGAGCAGCTGCCCAGCAGTCCCTGTGAGGGCCAATGGTGCCTCACGCAGGGTCCACACCAAGGGCAACAGGCGAGAACCACAGGCTCTGCGCTCCATTGGAGAGAACTGTTGCTTTTAACGTAGAGATGGGAGGGGGAGCTGTGCACCTCACTCATACCTGGGCACTTGCCCCACTTGCCTCAGAGGGTCCCTACAGAGGGCCAGCTTCCTGGCCCGGCCTTACCGGCCCTCTGCTCCCGCCGTGTGGCAGGCTGCACGGTTTGGGACTTAGTGTCTGGGATGGGCAGGAGTGGGTGCGCACACAGCCGGGCTTCCCTGCCCTCCTAGAGAGGTGACTCTGAGACGCGTCTGCCAGGCTTTTAGAGGACCATGGCTGCCCCAAGCCCCAATGCCTGCCCACTGCCCTGCATGAACATCCGCGCTCCCTTCATTTCCCTTCCCTTTCCTGGGTCACCTACCCTGTCCCTTGGTGCTTCCTGAAATGACCTCCCCAATAAATTCCTTGTCTTAAGGTCAACTTTTCGAGGAACCCAAACCAGGACAAGAAGGTGCCCATCGCAGCCCAAGCCCCGGGCAGACCTTACCTACGGAGTGTTCCCATGTTTCTGCCATGACAGGGCCTGCCCCAGGTCACTCTCCTGACCCCACCATGCGGCCCCTCAGCACAAGCCCCCCAAGGGTTCAGAAGAACAGGTCTGCCTTGTGGCCGCTGCCTGCCCCCCGCCGCCCCGGGGGATGTCCTAGTGGCCGGGGAAGAGGAGAGGCTGGGAGTGCAGGGCAAGGAGCAGGGGTGGCTCCCCATTGGCTCCTTTGTGCTCACATGTGCACAGACCCACGGGGCCCAGGCCAGTTCCCAGTGCAGGTCAGGGGCCTAGGGTGGCAGGTGTGGGAAGCTGAGGCAAGGAAGCTGCGAGGGGGCTGGCGGGTACATGCCCTACTCTAGGCCAGCTATGGGATTTTTCAGTAGGGTCAGCCTGAGAGGATGCGTCTCTAGAGTCCGCGGTATCACCAAGACCTGTGTCTTGATCCTGAGGAAGCCCCCAAGAACGAAGCTAGCAGAAGGAAGCAGGCCAGTGTCCTGGGGTTCGGGCCCCTCATCCTCTCTGCAGCACGGCCCCAGACAAGACAGGTCCAGGGAGCCGAGTGGGTGCAGGGCAGAGTGGGGCTTGCGGCATCTACCCTGGCTGGGCAGTTGGTGTTGGCATTCCAGGGTCCCCTCCTCCGGCTGCCTTTCCCCCCGGTTCAGCATGCACGGGCTGGAGCCTGTGGTGGGTGGGGCTGAGCCCTGGCTGGGGTTTGGGAGTGGGATGCCCCAGGCCTGCCATATCCTTGACCTCAGGGGTCCTCGGGCCTTGGGTCTTTATCACTAGCTGATCCCTCTACCCTCAAGCCCTTCCAGCCCCCAGTCCTCTGAGCTAGAGGAAACACAGATGACTTCACCCCTGGCAGGTGGTTCAAGAAGTGAGGGAAATTGCTAGAAATCTGCAGGTGTTCCTTGGGTGGGAGAGACACAAAGGAGATGAGGTTTAGCATCTGGGCACTCCGTGTTTGACAACAGATTCTATACAAAAGGTAAGTGGGGCCAAAGCCTTCTGTGGAGACTTTCCAGAACTGAGCTGAGCAGCTAGGTAGCTATGTACGCGTCAGAGGCCTGTCTACTGCGGAAGGCAGAGGGGCAAGCTCTGGCGGCCATCTACCCCGGGAACGAAGCTACACCTGGCCTGGAGGCTAGCCGGCCAAGCCCACAATGCCAGCCCCGATCCAGCTTCCTTGGGGTCCCATCCCAGAGATCCCAGCCTTCCGCCCACAGCTGACACGAAGGGCTGCCCACCAAGACAGGCTGGCCCCCCAGGTTCTGAACCATGCTGGAGAGGAGTTTCTGCAGCCTCTGAGCCTCCCCTGGGGCACGGACCTGGAAAGCTGGCCCTGGGGCCTGGGTGATGGGTGCCCTCGGCAGGCAGTGACTCAGGCGGGGTGGGTGAGCTGGGGTGCTGCCTCCACCTGGGGCTAAAAACAGGCCTATGAATCAGGGGCCTACATGCTGACTCTGCTCTCAAGTGCCTGGGTGACCTTGGGAAACCTCGGTCTTCCTCAGCTCTCCACGTGCCCGCTACCTGTCCTGTGTGTGGCCTGCGGTGCGGTGGTGAACTTGGCCAGAGCTTTCCCAACTTTCTCCTTTGGGCTCCACCTTGCTGGTTTCCGCCCGGTCTGTGACAAGGGAATCAGGATGTGCATGAGGGCGGAAGACACCCTCGGACCTGGGTTTATAAACCACGGCTACTCTTGACCCCCTTGTTTGTCCGCTCCCTCCCCCTGCCGTGTCCCAGGATTCCAGCAGGATGACAGTACAGTGTGGGGAAGGCTGGGACAGCTGGCTTGCTGGGCATTCTCCAGGGGACAGCCCAGGGGCTGGAGCTGTCCTCCTGGCTTCCTCTCATCCCAGAAGTATGGCAGTGGGGACGGGGATCCTGTGCCAGTGGCGCCCCCCACCCACCCCCAGCTGCCCTTGCTGTCTCTGCCCAGTCTCCCCCAGCTCAGCGTCCAGCACCACCACCAGCTCAGCTGCCCAGACACAGACTAGGCATCGCCCTTGGTTCTGCTGCTTCCCTTCCAGGTCCGGTGTCCTGCTGGTTTTTCCATCAAAGCTGTGTTCAGTCACACCACTTCTCCCCCTCTTCTCACACACGTCCCTGGGGCCAAGCCAGCACCATCTTTCTCCTGACTGCCCTCAGTCCCCCTCCCAAGGGTTCCCTCCCTCCCTTGCTTCTCTCTCGTCTGTTCCTCGCACGACAGCCAGCAGGAGACTGTTAGTGTGACATCAATTCTCCTTAGAAAAAGAACTGAGCGCACAGACATCCAAATAAAAGACTGCATTTCCTCACTTGGCTTGCTAGGTGGGACCTAGTGACAAGTTCCACCCAATGAGAGGTCAACCAAAGTAGAGCACCCTTTTGAAAGGCAGGTTGTACCCTTTTCTCTCACTTCTTCATTCCTGGAGCTGGAACTTGGTTGTGATGGCTGGAGTTCTAGCAGCCAATTTGGACCATGAAGATGAGGTCCATACTCCTAGAGAGTAGAAAACAGCCCTAGGTCCTTGATAACTCTATGGACAC